TTCCATGCGGGGCATGATCGTGAGTAGGCAGGGTGATTTCTTTCACAGTTCGAACAATGAGTGGCTTCTGAGGTGCAATCGTCCGATATGTGTTGAGTGGATGCACACTTTGCGCAAGTGGCTCGCCCTCTGCAACTTGCGATCCGTGCCCGAAACGTTGACACTTGAAACATCGACGAGGATTGGGGATATATTGTCTCCCATGGAGCTTACAGTAGCCGGTTTCAATCGATTCTGGTAAGTCACTAGTACCGAATGAGACAATTATGTGTTTGGTGGGTGTTTCTTTCTTGTCTCGACATGTAATAATTATCTGTACCTTGACTATATTCTGGTCTTGCAAGCCTTCTAATAGTTCACTTTCCGAGAGTTGAAAAATGTCATCATCAGAAATGACGCCGCAGACAGTGTTCATGGACCTGTGTGAGCCCACGGAAACAGGGGTTTCTCCAAACGCTACAAGTTTAGACAGCTTCTCATATTGAGCTTTGTCACGAACCTCCAAAAGAAGATCGCCACTTCCCATCTTTGTGACTTTATAGCCTGGACCTATTGCTTCGGTGAGAGTTTTCGACACAAAAAAAAAGTGAAATAGTACGTACTGTCTTCTTTTTCTTCTGGCTATGAATAACATGGTACTTTGGGGAAGGTTGGTTTGGTGTGTTGAGCATAAAAGTGTCTTCGGTGCGCCACCTTTTCAGGGAGCGATCAGGAGGGGGGGGGGGAGCATTTGCCATAAAATGACTATAAAGTTCGGCAGCAGTGCCAGCGGCCTACCACCGAGTCCAACCAGGGGAGGTGGCAGGAGGTGCTGGACAAGTCCTGCCAACACCAGATGTACAGCGCTGCTATAACCTAATATGGAATAGCCAAGACTGGGTATCCACATAAGGTTAACCCTTGCCGCCAGGAAATTCGGAAGTAGATGGAAAAGAGAAGATGACAGGACAGATAAAAAGTGAGAGATAAAGACGAAGATGTGGGGAGAGAGAGATAGGAAAAGGCGACTGCCGATTTCCCCTGGGTGGGTCAGCCCAGGGGTGCCGTCTACGTGAAGCCGGGGTCAAAGGGGTGTGCTGCCTCTGCCGGGGGGCCTTAAAGGTCCAATCACCCAGCGTCGGCTCAACCCTCAGGATCTTCTTTTCCCCGGACACGGCAAAGCCACGCACGGCTAGGCGTGGGAGGGAGTCGAAACCCCCCTGTTAGCTAGGGTCCGTGCTGTCGCTACACACCAAACACCTGCGTACGCAGACGCCCCTGCGGGGACCTAGCTGCGTACATGGCGGTCAATTCCTCCTATTCTTCACTCTCATTTAAAAAGTTTGGCTAGAACAACGCCCAAATTATCCGCTCTAAACAGCCTACAGCTAATTATAACTTTACATTTCATCTGTACTCAAACATAGCTTCAGTGGATATCATGTAAAATATTTCTTCACTGTCCGTGTGCCTCGACAGGAGCTGTAAAAGCAGTTCCTCTTTATTTTGGTTCCAGTCGAACATTTTAAGTGTGTTTCCAGACGCTGACTTTTTTTTTTATTAGCAAGCATGCTGGCGTGAAGCGAAGAGAACAAGCAGAAGTAATCAGTGATAGGGCGTAGAAGCGCGATCGAAAAGTCCCGGTTGATATTAAAACCTTCGACAGAACAACTTTTTACGATGACATATTTTTTAAGATTATTTCTTTAATGATGGAGCTGTTTTAAGCCCACGATTCCACGCTTTTAGTGTTCGCAAAAGCTCGCGTTGCCTAGCAACCACTTGGCACAGCTGCACATGGCTTCGCTCAGTGGGCTGCTGTATCAACTAGTTGAATGATAGAAAGAAGGGGAATAAAAAGAATTAGAGCTGGTAAGGACGAGATATAACTAAATAAATTCTTTCGGCAAGGCGGGAACCTGGGTACTCAAGGTTTGAAGGCGATCGTCATAACTACTCGGCTCTCCAGGCCGGAAAACAAGCATTTATGGGAGCCATATCATTTCACTTTGCAGTGGACGACATAAGAAGAAAGATAAAGATAGAATGAAACGTGAAGGAAGTAAAAGAAGGAAAGCAAGGGAAATAAATAGACAGAGTTAGAAAAAAAACTAACACAGAGATAAGGAAAGCATTTATTTGTAGCATAGCCGCATCAGTACAATATAGCAAGGAGGCGGGAAGTGGAAGCAAGGGAAGAAAACAGAGAGAGAAGTCGAAAGGATGAGGAACAGTGTGGTGTTGTATAGTATACTATAGTTTAGCAACATGTTGGAATGGGAAGAGAGTGTGTCAATGAGAGTAAGGAGGAAGAGAACACCACTTGCTCCGCTGTTATCTCAGCCTTCGCACCAGTAACCTGAACCTGGCTTTGTTGTTGTTGTTGTTGTTGTTGTTGTTGTTGTTGTTTCGCCCTGGGGGTGATCATTACAGTTATTGACCGGCGCCACTTAAGAACAGCGAGGCCTGAAATTGTCACGCAGGAATATCACATCTTCGAGTGCTCGATCGCAGACAAGTCTTTTGGCTAAAGAAGGAAGGAAAGAAAGGAACGGCAGGGATGTTAGCCGGATGTTAACCGGGATGTTAACCGGGAAAGAAAAACTAGTGCTTGGTGGGTGGTTATTACCTTTTGTTTTAAAAATCGGCCGAATCGTGAAAGGTACGCTCGTAGGACTAGCGCTTACCCTGTTCTGTTCATTTCTGTTCCAACTATTTTGAGGTTGAGGTACCCTCTCTTCATACGGGACAGTTCACTGCTCCCCCAGAGTTGAGTACGAAGTACTCGAAATCATTTAACACTTCTTCTAAACACATACACATGTCTTGAAAGCGAGAAAACCTATGTCTATCCCGTAGTAGAGTAGTCTAACGCGTTTCCTATTTATTCTAGACACGCACTGAATGAAAGATCCGCCTACGACCACGCACAGTACTTTACTACCACTGAAGAATACGCCCTTGTGTAGTTTGGCTTAAGAGCAGAAAACTGCCTCTTCTGTTCAAGCTGTATTCACACGGTGGACGTGATCGCGGACGGATCAGTCACGTGACGTGTCGCCTGATTCGGATCCCTCCGCAGCCAGCATTCACAAGGCAGGAGAGCATTCCCGCTATACAAGCGATAGTTTGAACATTCCTCTTCGAGGATCTCGAGCGTGATTTGGGGATTCCGTCGTTTCACGAATCGCTTCGCGCGGACAGAAGCGAGGAAGTGGGAACGGCTGACGTACATTGAAGCAATCCGCAGGCTCGAATCGCAATTCCGTCCGTCGTGTGAATTCAACTTTACCTTCTTCAATGATCGAGCCGCGGGATAGTTCATGAAACTGCTAATATTTCCGGAGCCCTTCACTACGGCGTCTCTCGTAATCATATGGTGGTTTTGGGACGTTAAACCCCACATATCACTCAATGAAACTGCTAATGACGAAATGTACGAATGAAAACTTACGAAAGTATCTTTCCTCTTTCTTTCTTTTTTTTTTCACAGGCGGCTGACGGTTTGTCGTTTAGCCAGCGACTGCAAGCTACACCTTCGTGGCTCTTTGGAGTGGACGAGCACCGCAGGGTGGCGTGTGCTTGCTGATGTAAGATGTAAATCAGTGTCGGTGCGTTTAGAAAAAGTCGCGGTACCGCTGCAAGGGTGAAGCAATGATTGCGATAGCGAGAAATCGAAATGCGACATGAACAACAAACAACTCGAAACTTGCAGCGCTCCGCTGAAGCACCAAAAGGGACGTTAGAATTTACAAAAAAATAATCACAAAAATAGGTTCACAAAAACCACAAAATATATTAGTGCAGCGATTAAGCTTGATAACAATCACGAAACAGTACTAGACATGAAAAGTTCCAAAAGAAATACGAAGGACAAAAAAGAGTGGACGACTCGGCGCGAATCTAATAACCGAGTTTAGCGGCAGAAAAAAAAAAGCTATGACAGTCTCATATCAAACAATCAAAATGCTCCCTAAATATTACCGACCAGATATGCAATCTCACAATCGTTCAATGACACTGATGGCCGACCGATCGACCAACCGACCGACCCACCTGCCGCGATAGTGTTCTGCTGCTGGCCCGAAGGCCGCGGGATAAAATTCAAATCCCGGCAGCGGCTGCCGAATTTAGATGGCCGCAAAACTCTATAGAAACCTGCGTGCTCAGATTCAGGCGAAAATTCGTGGAACCTTCCACTACAGTGGCTGTCATAAATACGTCGCGGCTTTGACCCTCCCATTTCGTGTAACGAACTTACGAAACATATATACCTGGCACGGAGACCGTACCTTCTACCGCACCAAAAACTAAGCAGACCACAGGCTCTGACACTCAGGATTCTTCAGGTCGGGGCGTACCCTAACCACGCGCTATTGCACAAAATATATCCCGAAATACAGCCAACTAATGCATGTTCCTCCTGCGATAATATTGCAAACTTGTAACATGTTCTAATGGTGCCCTACGTTACGCTGGGGTGAAGTCACCACGCCGTTCAAATGGGAGGGTGTTATTACCAACTCCGGAATCGAACAACAGTTATGGGGAGTCCACCATGGGCCCGCGATGCAGCAGTGAGACTTGGTCTTTCTGTTCTGATTTCGGGGCTGCCCACAACGTGCTAAAGCGCGTTCCTAAAGACCTAATAAAGTTCATTCATCCATTTGACACGTACAATAAAAGCAATTACCGTTATTGAACTAAATGCTCATTATCGGTTAACTAAATAAAACGAAAATGTTGGTCTTTCTCAAGGCCTTGAAAAAACGCTTCTTCCCTTTAAATTTACGCTCTTCCCTTGACGAAATTTATACTAAGCTTTTTTCCCACAAGAATGATTAAAAAATCTTTTTTGTTGCAGAAAACTAGAGATTATTTTTTCCCTAGGATTAAAATATATATTTTTTTCTAAGCTACCCGATCTTCAGCAAATCTCCCGGGGTGAATGTGAGCCAGAAGTTTAGGATCTACATCTGAAATCTGTCTGGTTGAACGGGAAAACAACACTTATTGCACTCTTTTGTTTTACGGTCATTATTTTTCTCACAAACATTCAACATTGAAAATTTCTAAGTGATGTATTTGGCCGATCCCATAAGTGGGTTAGAGCCATAAATAAGGCGTCATGATCACCATCATCTTTGTCGCGTGCCATCGATGCTTGGTATCAAAGAAGAAGTCCAAGAAGTGCGGAGAGACGACGTTTTGATCGGACGCCCTGAAAAAAAAGAAGGTGAGCTCTGTAACACTCTGGTCTCAGATGTCACTGAGGGCAACATTTAGTGCGGTATAAGGAGAGGAGACCGTTTTCAATGTGACCGATTCAACGCCTATAGCGCCGTTTGTTATTAGATGCGCCGCACACAGAAGCGACTTGACCTCGCCCCTGTTATACACGAAGCAGCCCGCTTGCGTCATCGTGATCTGTCACTTGTTTTTCTTTTTTGTTGTTGTTTCTTTTTTTTATGCGCGCATTTTTATACCTCGCATCCCTCTCCAATTTGAAGTCCGGAGAGCTATGCTGAGAGGCAAGGACAAATCGTGCTGTGATCAAACATGCGCATAGCGACATCAGTTTCGGTTGTTTGACATCCGTTTTCACTGTCCTCGCACTTTCTTGTCCAACTTACGATCCTGCCAACTTACTTTTTTCAATCTTAACACCTTCGCTTAACGCCGGCTACTGGCACATAGTGATTTTTTTCACTGTCAGTCGTTAACAATAATATAACGTCCTCCCAAAAGGCACGATATAATAATGATAGACGCCGTAGTGGAGGGTTCTGAAAATTTCGGGCACCTGGGGTTCCTTAAAGTGCACCTAAATGTAAGTACACAAGCCTCTATAGCATAACGGCCTTCAATGCAGCCGCTATGGCCAGGATTAACACCATGGCTTTCGGGTCAGCAGCCGAGTGACTATTTCGACATGACTATGGCGGGTGCATCACGTAAGCATTAAACGCGGCCTCCTGTTTGGTGTGCAGTTCGTTATTCTAGCCTATTTATCGTTATGCCACGGCAGGCCAGTATTACATGCGCATTCTCTTTTTCGCCGCAGGAACCATGGCGCATGTGGGAAGGGCCCTGTTCAAGATGCCGGGAAAGAGGCGCTGCCTGCGCAAGCTCAACGGCATGGTGCGATACAGAAACTGGCGCTGGCTCGCGCTGTCATTTAATCATCGTAGTGCTTTTATCACCATGCAGCTGTGCTTTTCTTTTAGCAAACGCATTGTATTCGCAATAACTTGGAAAAGCACTTTAGTGTTCGTGTCCTTGAGCGTTGATAAAACGCAGAAGTGCGAATCAAAGGAAATCATATTACCTATAAGTATACGGGTGGGCAGACATGACGATCTTCTACCAGAGGTATATAGAGTTTTGCTCGTTAGGCAACTTCTCGAACAGAAACGCATAATTGTCTTGATCACGCACGTTCATAGAAAGACTATCTACAGAGGAGCGGATTTCGGTGCCACGATGGTATAGTTATCGTTCACCATTTAGACGTTCTTCGCTTCGTTTGAGTGGACGCGAAATCAGTAAGGTACTGCCAAACTTGTTCAATGCACCAATTTGATTTGAGTCGGTTACGTAATCAATGATTCCGTAAACAATTCTACTGGGACGGCTTTGTGCTCTCTCGGAGTAGAGTACCGAGTACTCTAATTTGTTAAGCACTTTTTTCTAAACACGTTGCTGCCCCATAGTAGAGTATATTCTATAAATCATCAAACCTTTTCACTCTTTAAACTCAGCGTATACTTATTTGCAGTTTGAATGCCAGTAGAAACATTTTCATTGTGCGTTGTCTAACTTAACATCGATAAACGCTCCAACCATGTTTAACCGGCAGCCGCTGCCATAACTACCACAACTCTCCGCAACAGCAAGTGATAAAACGGAGAGGGCAATAGCCTCGTTGTATTCTTAGACAAATACAAACCATGCATTGCGAACGCCATAGGTGTAGTTTTCAAACAAAACCTAAGTAATGCCACGTTTTCAACTAATCTGTTCAGTTATTATCCATTCAGGTATTATAACACAGGTTGCTGTTTATATGTGCCTTGTTTACTGCATAATGTTCATATTCCTTGTCATTTGCATGTGTTCATTACTTATTGCTCTGTATACATGCTTTTTTTTTTCAACTCACTCCTGCTTGGGCCCGAGGAGAGCCTGCAGTATTGTGAAATAAAACAAATAATGAGCTTATGCACTCCTAAACGGCAAGCCTGATTTTGGGGTGACTTGCGATGAATTTCAGTAAACTTGTGATTAGCCGCATATAAAAGGTACTGAAGAACTCCATTGATTCTGTTGTAGCACAACACGGGGCACTTCATTGTCATTCAGACTTGCGGGCTACCTCCCTGCCTTTCCTATATGCATTCTCCCTTTGCCTCGGGAGCAGTGGGATAAGCTGGAAACACTCCGCCACCTCTTAGAGAGCAGATAATTGGTTTCCTCGCTGTTTTCTAGCGCTTTGATGCACTGGTCCTGCCCCGCCGCGGTAGTCTAGTGGCTAAGGCACTCGGCTGCTGACCCGCATGTCGCGAGTTCGAATCCCGGCTGCGGCGGCTGCATTTCCGATGGAGGCGGAAATGTTGTAGGCCCGTGTACTCAGATTTGGGTGCACGTTAAAGAACCCAAGTGGTCGAAATTTCCGGAGCCCTCCACTACGGCGTCTCTCATAATCATATGGTGGTTTTGGGACGTTAAACCCCACATATCAATAAGCACTGGTCCTTGTGACGTAGTCCATGAACGATGTATGCGCTTGCGCATCGCAGGATTGTCGATTTCCCGTGTTGTTGGCACTGGCGCTGCTCGGTGCACTGGCGCTGCTGTGCGGGGGCCGTCGGGACTGGTCCAATGACCAGTGGGCCGTTGATGGCACCCAACCGGATGCTGGTGTACTCGGCCTGGGCCGAGCATCGCGGCGAAGTCAACGAGGTGCGCGTCATTTCGCTGCTCGCTCCTCGTGGGGCCCTACGGGGACGCCTGCTGTGCACGCTCGCCTACCTCAACTACTCGCACGTACAGGTAACCACCGAAAAAGTGCATCGGCGTTAGCATCGCGCCTATTAAATGTGACATGTGAACACTACTTGTTACGATGCGAAGCAGCTTATGCTAGAGTTCAATCCGGTGTGCGGCGTGACTACCCTACTGCGCAAGCGCCAACTCTCGCCCCTCTCCTCGCGTGAGTGCGAGAAGGTGAAGGGAGGTGGTGAAGGAAGAGGTGGCAGAGTGCTGCCTCCACTTCGTTTCTCCTACCCCGTTTATCTCCGCCACAGCTGTGCGTTCGTATATTAATGCTGCGTATGCTTGCTCCATTAGCTCTCTCCTAGCAGCGCTGGCTATTCACTTTGCGGCGCAGACGCGGTAGTACACGCAAATAGGAGTGGGGAGAAGTAACATAAGCGGTTCACAGCATATACAAACTCCACAAACAAATGAAACACAGGAAAACACACAAATGGAAAGTGAGCACCAGCGCTGCTTCGCATCCCTACATGGTTCACTTTAATGTGAGATGGTGTATTTTTTTAGATAGTAGGATGCTAAGGTGTGGCCGATGTGTCTAACAGCAGACGTTCCTGGCGTGTTTGTCACACGCGAGTGGAGTCATCTAACCACGAGTGCCGTCACACTGACTCGACTGGCCTTAGGGCAACGCGTATGTACACCGTACGAAATGAACAAACATAATTTTAAATGCTAGAGATATTCAGAACGCTTCATTTGAGTTCCGGGCATCGTTGGCATCGCCAGGAGGTTCCGAGGGGAAAGGGCTGTTCAGGCAAGTTTCCCTCCTCGAAAGTTTTTCATTGTATATAACAAACTCTACGTCCGTAGCCAGGCAGGTGCCTTATAAGTTCGGACTCCTCCCCTGCACCTCCCAAAGTTTTTGTGGAGGTTTTTTTTTGTTGGAGAATAACCAATGAAAACAGTTGAGAGAGTTCTCAAACAGTTGAGACCTTCAGCAAGTGTCTCGCCCTTTCCCTCCCCCCCCCCCAAAAAAAAAAGTCCAGGCTATGAGCCTGACTCACGCATAATATCACACGCATACATATTCACTTTGTATATATCAAGAGTGGTGCAACCCTTCGATCCCTGGAAAAAATTTCTGACTATAGCCTCTGCTGTACCAGATGCTTTCATTTTCACTTTCACATTCACTATATTCCCTTAAAGACCCCGAGTGGGGGCATTACATAAGGGGTGGGTGTACAGTAAGGATACATAATACATGACCATTCAGGATGAGAGGTGCACTTTTACAGCATCAATGAAAGCATCTGGGTTGGTGGTGGCAACGTTGGCGTAGGGAAGGCCGTTCCAGTCTACAATGGTGCGTGGGAAAAAAAGAAGACTGAGAAGGTGAGAATACGGGTTTGAGGACGAGCAACACTTAAGCAATGACCTGTACGAAGGGATATGCGAGCAGGCGGTGAGATGTAAGGTGGCTGATTGAGTGAACTGTAATACATTTTGTGAAACAGGGATAGGCTGGCAGTGCGATGGCGACAAGAAAGGGCGGGCAGGCCAGTTGCCGCCTTTAATGAGGATACACTAACGTTATACGAATGATGATGAGTGAATGAACCTGATGGCGCGGTTCTGCACCATTTCTAATGCGTCTATGAGATAATACTGATGAGGATTCAAGATTGCGGACGCGTACTCAAGTTTTGGTCGAATTAAAGATTTGTATGCGATGAGTTTAACGTGAGGAGGAGAGCTGCGTAAATGACGTCTGAGAAAGCCTAGGGTTTTATTACTGGATGAGATGACGTTAGACACATGCGGAAACCAATTTAGATCTTTAAAGATAGTTACATTGAGATATTTGAAGGTACTAACAGATTCAATAGGGGTGCTAGCAATTTTGTACGAATAGAGGAGAGGGCTTCGCGAGCGGGTAACGGACATTAATTTACATTTACATTTACGGGGTTAGAGCCTGTTATTGATGCGCACACATTGAGACCGATTAGTAAGGAATTCTTTAACCCATTGTATGACATTTTGATGCAAACCAAAGTGGGAAAGTTTTAACAGCAAGCGTTGATGTGGTACCTTGTCGAAGGCTTTAGCGTAGTCAAAGATTATTGCGTCTACCTGTATATTAGAGTTAATGTTGGAATGTAGATCATGAATAAAAAGGGCGAGCTGTGTTTCACAGGACAGACCCTTGCGAAAACCATGCTGTGATGAATGGAAAAAGCTGTTGGAATCGAGGAAGTTCATGATGTTAGTGTAGATGATATGTTCCATGATTTTACATGGTATGTTGGTTGTGGAGATGGGTCGGTAGTTTAATGGTGAAACTTTGTCACCTGACTTGTAGACGGGAACGACCTTCCCCACTTTCCATTCGTTCGATAGAGTGCCTGATGACAGACTGCGAGAACAACAAGGTTAAGACTGCGGCAGATATATGCTTAGCGTTTAGAAGTGATGTCATCAACACCTGCGGACGAAGAGACCTTTAGTTTTTCCCTCAGTGATGCGACGCCTTCGGCCGAGAAATTTATAGCCGGCATTATCGACATGATGTTGTAACCGCAGTAGCACAAGCACATAAGGCTCATCAGGTGGAATAGAAGTGCATTTGTACATATATTTAGAGGCACTTCGTAACGTTTCGCTCAATAGGAAAAAAAATACAACATTCCATCCACGTGCTTCGCAAAGCATCAATTCCCAAGTTACGTGGGATCTTCCGGATGTTTTTGGTGTTCCGACGTCTTCCGAGGTTCTTGAAACGTATGAGCAAAAGTAAACTTAGACAAGGCTGGGTTAGTTGAATGTACTTTTTCCTACAGGAAACATTACGTGTCGGCAATACACGGTAGACTGAGTGTGTATCTTTACCCGACGACAGTATCCAAAGTAAGCCCCATTCACACAATTACCGCGCAGCTACCCTTCACCTATGTAAGAGAAACACATGTCAGTTGAAGCCCTATCTCAGCTTAGCTTATCTTGTTATAGGTCTGTTGCCCCGGCGTGGTGGTCTAGCTAGTGGCTAAGGTACACGGCTGCTGACCCGCAGGTCGCGGGATCAAATACCGGCTGCAGGTGGAGGCGGAAATGTTGTAGGCCCATGTGCTCAGATTTGGGTGCACGTTAAAGAACCCCAGGTGGTCGGAATTTCCGGAGACCTTCACTACGGTATCTCTCATAATCATATGCTGGTTTTGGGACGTTAAATGAACCCCACACATCAATCAATCAAATCATTGTTATAGGTCTGTTTGTAAACAAGAGTTTGTGTACAAAGATAAGAGAGCGTCCTTGGCTGAACCACGGCCATGGCTAAATACTGTCATCAAAATCCCGATTCTATAAAATTCGTCATGAAGTTTAAGTTTCATCCAAAGCCAGTTTTTTACTCGCACAAATACGAAATTGGTCCGTCGATATATCGGATAGCATGCATTCATGTCACTATGCAGATAAAGCGTATTTTGATTGTATGGAGCTTATATATACGGCAGAACATATATTGCATTCCTTAAGCATACATGTATATACAGGGTGTCCCAGGTAACTTTAGCCAGATTTTAAAAATATGCCGGCACATTCAATTATGACGTGACCAAATGCATGTTGCTAACCGTTGCCTTGAGTTAGTCAGACTATTTTTGTGTTCACAAATATTGTTTAACATGTTTAATTAACTAACTTTTCAAGAAACGAAGATAAAAAATTTCACTGAGAAAGTTGTAGATCGTTCTGCAAAACGTCTGATTAAGCAGTTTTGAACTTTATATCTGCTAGGTATTCTGCTAATTAGTTTTTATGCTAATTACAAACACCCGCGAAATACAAAAATACCACGTGACAAACCAGCTCGTGCGCCAGTGGGCACAATGATTCTGGTGCTCCCTTGCGTTCCGCGTACGAACGACCATAGCATTTGCCCAATTGTGCGGTCTCGGCAGGGCCGCAACGATGGTGGTGGCTTTACGATAAAGACGTTTTGCTATCGGCGACAAAAACGATAACCGCTGTGACTGCTTATCGTTGTCATAAACCGTTGTGAGGGAAGCGCGTCGTTCTTACGCGGAACGTTAGGGAGCACAAGAATCATCGTGCGCACTGACGCGCGAGTGGGTTTGTCCCGTGGTATTTTTTTTTTTGTCTTTCGCGGACATATGTAATTAGCAGAAAAACACTAATACTTAACGGGTATAAAGTTCAAAACAATCTATTTAGATGTCTTGCAAATTGATCTACAACTTTCTCTTTGAAATTTTTATATATCTTCGTTCCTTCAAAAGTTAGTTAAGTAAACAGATCTAATAAACAACATTTGAGAAAACAAATAAAAATTGTCTGACCAACTCCAGGCAACGGTGAGCAACATGCATTTGGTCGCATCGTAATTACGTGTTCCGACACATTTTTAAACCCTGGCTAAAATTACGGGGGACACACTGCATACTTTACCCGTGTTCACAATTATAACCACCCGCCGCAGCAGCGTCGGGTACGTTTAAGAGATACAAAAGTTCTCGCTTCGGTATCTAGCATTATAAGAGGAAATAGAATGTAGCTTTCTTTTTTTTCCTTTACCCAAGTGGCGCAAGCGGATACGTTGGCGTCACGACGAGGAAGGCCCCGGTATAAACGGGGAAGTTTAGCCAGAGCGGGTCATTGTGCCCGCGTTATCAAAGCGCGCCGCTGCAGGATAAAGACAGCGCTTCGAAGTCAAGCGTGGCAGCGAGTTGGCCCGTTCTTTCGCTCTAAGCTCCGACACAACTTGCTGCCGTGAATTGGCCCGCTTCAAAAATAAAGGGGGGGGGGGAGGAAAGTGCGCTTTTCTTTTTGCTTTCTTATTCGCAATGTACCCGGGATAGAAGCAGCTGATCCCGACTTGAGCGCGAATTTCGCCTCGAGTGTTGACGGAAGGCAGCGTATGGAATTTGCTCGCGTAATGTACGTGGACGAACAGAGAATAAAATGCTTTATTAGGAAAGTAAATAGTTTCACTTAAAAATAGAAAACAGTAGGCCTGAGGGCGAAGGAAACGAGTTTCACAAAGGACGATAGCCGTTGCTAAGTGATCTCGGAGCGCAAGGGTGCATTAGGTACAGGCTATATATAGTTGGTTCTTGAACATTATAGCAAATTAGTGCAGAACGCGGGACAGATTAACCGTCATCAAAATTGATAGTTTAGCCCGTTGATTGATTGATTGATATGTGGGGTTTAACGTCCCAAAACCACCATATGATTATGAGAGACGCCGTAGTGGAGGGCTCCGGATATTTCGACCACCTGGGGTTCTTTAACGTGCACCCAAATCTGAACACATGGGCCTACAACACTTCCGCCTCCATCGGAAATGCTTTATAGTTTAGCCGGTCCACCGAGTCACTTGCTATAGCGTTTGTGCCTTCTTGATTGTGCCTCTGTGAATGCATGCTCCGCATTTTTAATTAAAAAAAGAACTGTTGATAGCGCTGTGTCCTGTGTTTCAATATCCAGTAGTTCAGGCTGTTCTGCTGTAGTATAAAAAATACACTACGTTGTCAGAGGTTCGGAGTTAAAAAAACCTCAACGTGGGCCTCCGTATAACAGGCAATCGTGCCTATGTCCTTTAAATTACGTTTTCGCAGAATTAAGGGTTCGGAGTATGTCCTTGTTCTTCCAGAACATTCGTGATCACTCACATTTTAACGAGCAGGCTTTCAGCATGTCGCCTGTGAAATAGAGCGCCGTCCGCCTATTTATTTGTTGTACTTAAACAAGCACTGTTACACTCTGGATTATTTCAAATTTTCGATTATAGATAAGCTTTGCGAGTGTCACTTGTCCGTCTTTAAAGCACTTCATTCATTTGAAACTGCTTTGGTTCTTGTAATTTATCTTAATATTTCTATGTATAAGCGACTGCATGGTATACCTTCAGAATTGTATGTATCGACATTTTGTTTTAACGAAAAGAATAATTAATTGCTCCTAGAAACCATGAAGTCTCAGCGAGCCAATCTGAGAGTATAGAAGCCAATATCTGTCTTTTGCTTACCTAAAATCTTTCCTGCCTTTTACGAAGTCTCCTTTGTCGACAAACACGTGTACCCTCACGTTCCTGAAAGGCTACTGGGCTAACCCAATTTCTAGTTTATACTTTGTGTATTGTTTTGTTTCGTGTTACACAGATATCTACTTTCTAAGCATGATAGAGCACTGATACGGGGGGCGACGACGGTAGTGGCCGTTATGTTAAATGCGATTATGTCGGCGACCACATTATGAATGACGCTGTCAAGATGCAACTCAGAAGTGGCAGCACAGTTGGGAACAAAACAAACGGCTGGTGAATTCACCGCATGCTGTTTCTTTTCTTCTAAAGCAGACTAAACTGATATTCCAATAGAGCGACTGCGTACTCGTGACGACCCATCATATATCTCAAACTCGCCGCGAATTTAACACAGCAAAAGATATCAGCGTCAGTCAGCTCTGTTTACTGTTACTTTCAGCCATCGCCACCTTCTTGCACTGTTAATTGTTAAGGTTTAAAGTCCTAAAACCACCAGGAGAGACGCCTTAGAGGAGGCTCCGGAAGTTCTGACCACCTGGGGTTCTTCAACGTGCATCTAAATCCAACAAGTACACGGGGCTCAAGCATTTTCGCCTACAACGAAAATGCAGCAGCCACGGTTGATATTCGAATCCGTGGCTTCAAGTTTCGCTGTTCATTCACAATTACTAACACACAAACTGACCATACTACCTGTACTTTCACGAGGCTTACTAGGATGCGTCGAACTCGGCTGCAGGTAGTGGCAGCCCGCGTCGAGCCTCTGAACGCCACTGTGCTGGCGGGCCACACGACTGGTCCCACGAAAGACCACTCTCTCGAGCCCGGTTTCGTGTTCTGTCCGGGCGATCCGCTGCTGCAGGCCGACGAAGTGGGTCTTCGCCTGGTCGACACAAGCCGCGTCCACTGGCTACCCGTAGGCCACGCGCCTACTAACAGCGTCAGACTTTTCCCCGACGCCGGTAGGGCTTAGCGCTTGATCGACGACCGTTCGTGTTAATCGACCAAAGCGTTGTTCCCGACGAGAGCGTAGCGCCGCTCGACGAGTCCTCGGTCTCGTGTTTTCTCGTTTACTGTACACGTTCCAGTAGCCTATTCTCAGAAACGCTTATCGAATGATTGTACGACCACCCGAAACAAGCGTGCGCAGTGGCAACATGTCTGCGTATCAAAGTCATATGATAGGACGATCGAAGCTGAAAAAAATTGTTTTGTGAGCATACCTTCGCCCTCGCCCTTTTTGGAACGTAATTAGTCGTGTGGCGAAAAGACGGGGAAAAAAGGCACTTGTGCAAGCTATAAAAATGTGGGCGACTGTATGCGTAATTTTAAACTTTCACCATGCCTTCTGCGGCATGCTTCAATCGTGAAACACGTAGGCGCTTATCTCAGAATACTTGCACGTGCAGCCACTTTCAAAGTTAATGATATCTGGCGTATTACGTGTAAAATTGCGATATGACTATCAGGGACGCCGTGATGGAGGGCAGTGTATATTTCGTCCTCATTCATTTTATTTAAGGTGCACTGACATCGCACAGTGCACGGGCCTTCAGCATTGGCTGGCATCGAACCCGCGACCTTCAAGCTGTTATCACTGTACCACCACTGCCACTGCCAATGTTCCTGCGAGAATCCGCGTGATACGGAACCATTAGTTCACGAAAGTTATGTATATAAGGTCGCACGCAACGTGATCATTGGGACCGGTTTAGCATTTATTCGTCCTTCCAGCCATCGCCTGCGAAGAATGCTTGATTCCATCAGGACTGATCATACCGGAAGAGTTTGACATCTAAAGAAAGAATAGCGCAACGTACATCGCTCATTTTGACTTAGCATTCGATTTGTAGAGAGCGGTTCCGGTCGACGTGCAGAAGCAGCCGACCATGTCCGGACTGCGAGAGTGCAAACCAGCAAATTCAGGGCAGTGGTGTGCGCTCTGTCCGTATTCGACTTGGCGACCGAGGATCTGCTTCTCGGGGAGCTCGTGGCCCACTACACAGAGCTGGGCGCCACGGACTTCGTCTTCTACAACCGGACGGAGTCACGGCGGGCTCGCACGTTCTTCGGCGCCCTCACGACGGTGAGTCACAGAGTGCGGGAATCTTCGTGTCCATAGGCGTGTGCAGGGTTCCCCATCATAAGGTCTGGCGCAGCGCCCCCATCCCCGTGAAGTCAATGTAAGGAGCAGACTTTGCGCCCGATCCCCTTTTTAGGCGACTACCATAAGGGAGCCCCCCACCCCTCCTGCATTCCTTCTCCCCCCCTTCACACCACGTGCGCAGGACTACGCTCTTGTCCCATCATAGCTTGTTTTTAAGGCAAGTCAGACAATACGACTCCATGCTGCTTGCAAATATTGTAGGCATGCTTGGCTTGTCTAGAGTTACTGTACTACGTCTCACGATCCACCCGATGCCCAAGACCCTACCCAGCACCTCCACCAGTCTTGTCACGTTTCTTAAGACAAACTTGGTTTAATGGGTTCGTTGAGTCGACTAGCCAAGCAGCAGCTCAGACAGATCGTCGTTGTCTTCTTTCACTCCTGGATCTCAACCAAGCATATCATGTGGCAATATGCTACCTTACAGTAACTCTAGGTTTGTCCTGTCGCACCATCAGGTAAACTCGGTCGTCTATCTACCCTGGACTCGCCACGACGCACGCCCCCTGCTGGCGTACGACTGCGCGCTGCGCATGCGCGGCTTCGCCGACGTCCTGGTCGCGGTGGGCACGGACGAGCGACTGGTCCCGTCGCGGTCATCGGCCAAAGCCGACTGGAGCCAGGAAAGCGGCGGCAGCAGCAACGACGCGGGCAGCTGGAGGCTTCCCGACGTGCGGGGGTCTCTAGTGATAATGTCGCGCAAGACCTTCTGTGGAGCCGACTACAGCGAACACCAGGGCGTGGCGATGCTGATGCCTCGACGCCGAAGACTCGGGGACATCCACTCTGCCGGAGTGGTGGCTGCCGGCCTGGACGCACTGCTAGCCGGCAAGCAGGGCTCGCACCATTCGAGACAAGTTCTCCTACATAGGTATATACAGAAAAATCTCGTTTATAAGATTCGTCTCTGACCTCTGTCCTTCTCTGTGCACCATACCGTCCATAGTCCATGCTAGCGTCTGTGCATATAGATAGCAACTTCGCTGACCCTGAGGGAAGAAGTATAGAAAATATTGCGCATTGGTGACGCCGCTGCTAAACGCTGTTCGTGTTTTCCTGGCACATAAAAGACGCAATCGTCCCGGATATATCACGTACTCTCGTAGAACGTACGCGACGTCTTGCTATCAATAAAAACCGAATTCAAAATGACTCTTACGCATATTAGTGGCGCTATATATAGAAGGTTCATCTATATACAGATCTGTGTTGCCTGCAGACGGCGTCTCTATAGGCCTGGAATCAATCTATCTATCAAGCTTCTTGGAAGCGTTTCCACCTGCTAACTTATAGCTTGGGATTCGATTGATTAAACTTCGTAGCGAGCGGTCGCAAAGCTATTTCAAACAAAAGGCCCGAATGCACGGCACTTCTCGTTCCACGCAGGTATTCCGGCGAACAGTGTCCCGCCGAAGGAGAAGTGGTCGACATGTCGGCAGCCGAAGCCGTGCGTCGGACGCTGTCATCGCAGCCCATGATCCTGTGGAAGACGCTGTTCGTTGGCTGACCCTCCGACAGGGCACGCAGCCACGGAGGAGAGAGACTTAGTCGAGCTATCGCTTCCTCCATGCAGGATCAACGATCCGTACTGCCGCTGCTGCCTGTCGACGTGCTTATCGCTCAAAGACTTCTGCGTGCGCGTTCGTGCATGTGTGTTTGTGCCTACCTTCGTTTTTCCGTGTGTCGTCAAGGAAAAAAAAACTGCGAAGACGCTCCCCTGAGTTGTTGTATAAAGGTGCACGCAACGGAAAAGTCCATTGACGAGCATATGTGACCTATGACCGGTGAAAAAAAATGTCACAACATCATTTAAAATGATCTCCTCAGGGTGTGCTTCTTTGTGACGGTCACTCTCGCTTTTGAATCATGCCGGACTTTCGCTGACACAGGCACTCAGGATGCCATCGCGACTTTGCCACCGCGCTTGTTGTTGCTCCCTTTGTGCCATGGCCTCCACGATTAGCTCCTGCAGCACACCGGTGCGCTCCCATAGCTAACCACTGGAGGCCACGCTTGTGCTAATCTTTTCCCAGTGCGCTCCTACTTTTTCTTCACTCCTATGTTGAGGCAGTGAGCCTTGGAAGTCAAAATAAACAAAGGGTCACAATTGTGAAATCAGTGATTTGCATAAGCGCGCCTACCGTGGGTGGGCAGGAGTTCGCCCCCCCCCCCCTCCCCTGTTATCTAAAAGCAGGCGCAGTCTGCGTCTGCCCCACACATTGACCTAGTAAGGGGGTTGGCACTGCGACGAACCTTCACTGCTCCCCCCAACCCCCACCTAAAAGGGAGCCATGCGCACGCTTACAGGTGATTTGCCTATCGATTCTATATTGGAAGGTACTGTGGCGATCCCAAATCAGTTTTGGTTCCCCCACAACCGCTCTAAGACACGTCCTGCTTGTCTCCACCAGATGACACACTTTTAAGGTTTTTTCTTTGCCATCAGTATTCTTGACCAGGCCAAAGTTTTCAACTGCGTGCCCTTTCCGAGTAATTCGCATGCAAGGATTTTTTTTAAAAACACTTTTCTTCAATTATTCTCCACCTTGCAGGTTTCCGTAGATGAGATTTACGAATATCATCACATTCTAACCTTCCTTACACTTCTAGCTTGGCTGATATTGGCGTTCCTCTGCAAAGTGCCGAGTCGTGCCAGATAGATGCAAGTCAGCTCGTGCCTCACAAAGCAAATAAAGCACTTACTTGCGTGCGTGTGTTTGTTTGTTTGTTACCACAGCCTTTGTGTTGCCTGCATGCTCTTTGTCCATCGTTTCTTCCTAGCCATCTTTACAAAACTTCGCAGATTTCCTTGTTTCCATCTTTTCGATCTCATTAAGCTCTTCATTCTCCTCACCGTTTTGTTTTCCTGGAAGACAGTGCTTGACACTTCGCAATACCGCTTACTATGCACTTGTTTTTGAGATGAAGACTATGCAGCACAAGTTTGGGCGATGCTCAAAAAAAAGACTTGAGTGAGACAAACAAACGGAATCTTAATGGAATAAACCGCGCTGTAAATGCAAGATACACTTCGTATGTAACCTTCTAGTCTCCCGCATTTCGGTAAACATTGCGACGCTGTTATTCCACTAAGGAGACTGATCCTTTCAAATAATGTCTTGAAAGAAGTGGATGAGAATATACACAATAAAAAACCAAGCGACGTGTTTACTTTCTTTTTAGAAAAAAAATACATGACGATTCGCTTTTGGGGCAGCGCAGGCACGCAAACACTCGATAACGACTTCACTTCCAGCTGACGCAGGTGCATTCCGTTTCTCTGCTAGACGTTTAGCGTCCCAGTTTCGTGCCACCGCACTTATCTCTCCAACCCTGCAGGACTGCGAGCTTACCACGACGAGCGCAACTCAAGTGAGTCACGCGACGCAGCAGGAAAAAGGTCGAAAACAAACTCTCGGAAATTGGCGAGGAAGATCCTCCTCACGTCGTAGTCGTGGACATCTTCCACAACCTGTAGTTTCACAAACAACCCTGTGATTGATAAGTCGAGAATCCAGCAAAAACAGGCATTCCGCTGCGATTTCCAAAAGTTTCCGTGACACTGTCCGGTCCAACCCTGATGGCAACGTTACTTTGTACATTATTGACGCGAGATTAGGCGTATGTTACGGTGGACCCGTGCGTAACTTGTCATGCAGTCGTCAAGGCATCGAGCTGAACTAGCTTGTAGGTCGGTACCGAAATTTGTCACCTGTCTTGTACGTAAAAGTGATACGTAAAATTATGAATATTTCTACTCGGTGCAGTTGGCAACAGATATACCTTTCTACGGCTCGTCGCGTAGCATGTGACACCATGAAGTTATATCACAACTAGTTCCCGCTAAATCAACGAAGTAAAGCAGAAAGAAGATAAACTTCTGGACAATCCACGCCATGTGGCTTCATCGCCAAGACCATGTTGCTCACCAAAGACATCTGCAGCCCCCCTGAAAAAAAATTGTAAAGAATATTGTGCTGAACAGAGCGTTGTGTGCAGTTTCTCGCGCACAGTTCTACGAAAGCTCAATCATTTTCCATTAAAGCCACCGACGCAAATAACGTTTCCATGATGCATTTACACCCTGTACATGTATTATTAGCCAAAAAGTGTAAACTGACACCGTGCACCGCAGGCTGAAATTTTGCGCCGATAAAAAGATAGGAATCTGAAACACCTACGTGGCGCGCGGGTTCTGTGCGGTCCTTGACAGCCCTCTCAGCGGCACACGCGTGACCCTGTTCTGCACTACGTATAACACAGCCAAAAGGTAACCTATCATATTTTAAGGAGCCCGATTCTGTAGCCGGAGTTGGAGAACCCAGGAGTCAACGCGTTTTTACATCCGATCAAGTAATCGAAAACAACGCAGAGAGTCCTTAAGCTAGCTGCCACGAGTATTGTCCATTGAAGCTGCTGACAACGTCACGAACGACGAGGAGTCACAGCGCGGGTCCTAGTTGCGTTTGTTGCTGCGGGCATCGAGGCCGCTTATGCCGGAGTCGTCGCCGGGTCCGAGACCCTGCGGTGAGGGCGACGGGCCGAAGCACTCCTGGAACTGGGCCCAGTAGTCGGTCGCGTCCACCCACGACGCCGCCTGGCAGCCCGAGCGGCCGGCCTTGTGCATGCGAGCGTAGTCGTAGCACGTGACCTGGCCGTCTCCGTCGCAGTCGGTGCCCCACTTGTTCATGTAGTTCACCACCGCCGTCTCGGCGCAGACCTGGTCCTTCAGGCACTTCTCGAAGTCTGCGCAGAGCACACCGAGGATTATGCACAGTCAGAGAGGCGTGAACGTTATAAGATAGAAAAACTGACCGAAGCTTCGTGGGCTCTGCAGGCACAGTATCAAAAGAAATAAAAAGGTCGTCGCTATGCGTGGCCATTGGAGCACTTAAGATCGGCCATGATTCAAGTCGTGGCCCTTTTTGCGAATAGCAAAGCCTTCCCGGATGAAAAGTTCAGCTTTCAAAAGGAGTTCTTTGTCGACTGGTTGATACAACACGGTTATCCGGTAACACATAAGATAATCTGGCGCGTCTTTGTTTGATTGCGGACATGTGAATTAGACACATTAGCATTCCGTTAAGAGGCGTTCTGATCCTTGTACAGGGTCCGTATGTGTGATCCTTGTACGTGAACCATGTGACCGCGATTTGCTTCCGAAATTCAGTATGCAACAATCAACGAGAGTGGTTACCAGTCAAGCGAATGTAAACAAAGGTGACCGTCTCCGGCCCCTCTATGCGTTCCCGTTACGGAAGGATTCGAGTGCCGCCATATTGGACTGTTAACCTATTGTTATGTATGTTTTACAACTAAACAAAGAACAGTGTTGCGGAAGACACATGCTCATGAAAACGGTCGGGTTGGTGCACACGATGTTTGACGGCCTTATCGATTCCCGTTGTGATATACGAAAAAGAAAACATCAGCGGCACCCATACAAAGATGGCGGCACCCATAGAGAAATAGTCTAAAGGGTATCATCATCATCATCATCATCAGCCTGACTACGTCCACTGCAGGACAAAGGCCTCTCCCATGTTCCGCCAGTTAAACCGGTCCTGTGCTTGCTGCTGCCAATTTATACCCGCAAACTTCTTAATCTCATCTGCCCACCAAACCTTCTGTCTCCCCCTAACCCGCTTGCCTTCTCTGGGAATCCAGTTAGTTACCCTGAACGACCAGCGGTTATCCTGTCTACGCGCTACATGCCCGGCCCATGTCCAAGGGTATACTCACGGTCAAAGTTTCCGGGCTTTCCAGCGTCGACCCAGTAGGCGTACGATATCTGGTAGGGGCCGCAGAAGTACGAGTTGGGGCCGCCGTTCGTGCAGCCGATTTGCGTGTTGCACTTGGTGCTGGCCTGCACGACACGGTTCGCCATTGAGAACGCCGCGTCTCAGTGCGTGCCCAGAAGGCTCATTCGCGCTTCCTGCATAACCACTTCTGGTCACGAAACATTTGCGTCTCGGCCACGAAAAATAAGAAGGCGGCCTGGCTTTCAAGAGAGATAGGTTGCCGATAGCCGGTCGACGTGTTGGATGTTGTCCTGCGCTCCACACGCCGAGGCACTTCGGTGAAACGTTTCTCGCGACTGTGAACTACTGTGCTCGCTGTGCGATACGATTTCGAAACAATTGTGCAGCGTTGTAGTACTTTATCTCATTTGGATTTAGCCGAAGAAGCAAGCTGGAGCTTAATAATGTAATAATGCACGTTATACGAGACACACGCTTTAGTGGAGGGTTATGTCGGCTATTTCTATAACAGTGCGCAGCACACGGGCATCTAGCGTTTCACCTTCATTGTAATTAGGGTGCCTTGATGCCCGCACGCTCCGCTGGGGGCGCGCGCATCGAGGCACTCTAATTGTAATGCGACCGCCGCGACACCGTGCGGAGAAATTTTCGTAGCACAACTACAAATATTTTGCTCTTTGTACGCGTACTTATCATACACCCTCACACGCATGCAAGGAGACACGTAAGGAACATTGCTTGCTCCAGCCTTGATTGTAAAGCAGGCGCGCATTGGGTAGCAACTCTTCGCGGTATCACAATATCCGAACGATTGTGCAGCACTGTAGTAACTTTTTCTTTGTTATCTCATTGGGATTCAAAACTAAAGAAAGCGTCGACTTTTTTTTTTCATTTATGAATTATCTTGCTCCGATACAAGCGAGCAGGAACTTCGTTCTTTTATTATTCCTGTATACCTGCACAAAGTGTCAGGCGCCGTACCTCTTTCGCTTCGGATTGCAGCAGTGACACGATTGTTCTGACTGCCTAGTTTCACTTTGCTGTTGTCAGTGGTTGAAAGATTAATCATCTCAAGCGACAGTCTTCCATTGATAAGCGAGGCCTTGGCCACTGACATGTACACTGAACACAGAGGTCACTCGTCCCTGTCACTAAACGAAGAGGAAAACAAGCCAGATTTCGCTGAGAGACAGTATATGATACATGGAGGAAGTAACAATCGTTTGGCGCGTCTGTGATGTGTTTGCACCTAAGAACCACGCCTATAGCTTCGGTTATGTGTGCTTACATATCCGTAGGCGAAAGTTGTCAATTTCTAGCAAGGCTCTTTGTTCGGACGTCATCTAAAGGTGCAGCCTTGATAATAGTACGCCTTCTGAGCCTTGTCTCGTAGTTAACTCACGCGTGGGGTCTTTCTTACCTTTTTTTTTTTATAGTCGAGTTTTATCAGTAGGGATAAGTGTTGCGTGGAACCTATGGTATAACTTATTGCAATAAAAGTGTGGTACTTGTGATCGTTCAGCTGTTTGAATAGTTTGTTCTTCGGCTCTTTTTATACCATGTTGCGTGTTTTGGCTTGATCTGTGATATAAAAGTGTATTTTGATGGCCGTATATTGTAAAAACTTACTGTTGCTCTATAGATTTTACCGTCATTCTGTATCAACAAACCGAGGATCCCACTAAAGTCTCTGGCTCTGGGACCCTCGTCTGTATATCCTAGATTTTGTAACTTGTTTTTGGAAAATAATAAACTTGAAACTTGAACACTGTTCTTCTCACGATGCCCAATGCACATATCATGGAATGTAGAACATGTACTTACGTAGCAGATGCAGTTCAGGCACTTGCGTGTCGCATCGTCACTCACTTGAGCATCGGAACCTGCGCAGTGGAATCAATAATAGAGCGTGAACACGTGAATATGTTCATGCCAATGATCAAGTATGAAGCCGTAAATCAATGCTGGGCGGTAAATTTTTTTATGTTTTCTTGCGTAGCCATTTCAATGTCTCCATACGTTCCCGGGTTTTGTCGTGAACACCACGCTAAATATTTGTAGACGCTCCTTAAGCATACGAGGCTTTGTGGGAAGACACAATTTTTTTTGCATCCAGTCAAAGTATCGCAGTGAATCATTATTTTGATATGCACTGTCAGGATATATCCAATTTTGTAAGGTTGGTGCCGATTGGTCCCTTTTTAGATAAAAGCAACGTATGAGGCAAAAAAAAAAAAAGAAACCCCGAAAAACCTGGCAATGTCTCAGTTTGCGTATTTACAAAACCGGTGCGCACACTGACGACGACACAAGACGAAAAAGACAGTACGAGCGCTGTCCAACAATTGAAATTTACTTTCATTATAATGGCATGCGGGTCCAACGTAATTCAGCCTTTAGCGCTCGTATGTATACCGTCTCCTCCTTGTCTTTCGTCTGCGTCGTGTTCGCGCGGTTTTTCCAAGTATGCATCGTTTCCAACTCACCCATCCCCCCATCCCCTCAATTCTTACTGCAACTTGTCTCTGACGCGACAAATCGTTTGTTTCTGGAGTTCAAAAGGCCTTGTCATCAATTTTAACCGTTAAGTTTTCTCGAGCAGAAGCAACATGGACAGAGGTAAGAGGGCATACAAAGTTGTGCAGCCCTTACTGTCAGTGCCTATAGTTAGCGCACATCGGTACTTTTTGACTGCGCTTCTTTGTTTACGAAGGGAACAATACCGCATCTAAACAAACGAAACTATAGCAAGCGCAGTGAGCTAAATAAACAAAAAAGTGCCTACTACTGATGATAATGCTTGTTGAAGGACTAGGACCGCGACCACAATGGCGTAATCTCTTTATTTTTATTTTTTTAAGTTTATACGCCAGGCTGTTTCTCGAGCACCTAGTTTAAAAATTGTTCGTTCCGAATTTCACTATCTGTTACCTTCCCGTTTCGTACTCTTCATTTAGTACACGAACAGAACTTAAAAAAATGGCAGCATATCCACGGAGTGAATGATGGGGAGTGGGGCGAAGCATTCGTCCGTCCATTCGTTCTTGCTTCCGTCCGTTCCTGCGTACGTCTGTGTAACCGTCCATGCGTCCATTCACTCGTCCGTGCGTGCGTCTATTCGTGCGTCCGTCCCTGCGTTCGTCCATGCATCCGCGCCTGCGTCCGTCCATGCGTCCATCCATGCATCTGTCTGTGTGTCCGTTCGTCCATCTATTCAGCACTCCAAGTACCACCATCTCGCATCTTTTCATCATATATTCCTCATATAGAAGCACCGCCATCCAGCGGACATTTCAAGGACTAAACGGGAGGTGGCACATGCACACTTTCTTACGGCTTGCGCTTCGGGTCTACTTCCCACCTTTAACCACCTCGAGTTCATGGTATATACTAGTTCACTGTATTCATGGCTATGCGGCCCAACGCTCGCTAAACCTTTCTAAAACCAAGGAGGTTACACCCAGCGAGTATAACGTAGCAACCCATTCTTGTCAGATCGTGCTCAATGTACATGCCAATAGCTGCTAATGGGGATCGCAGCGTGCGCGTTACCTAAAGGCCGAATGCTCCTGTCTCTCATTCCCCCTTAGCAGTCATTAACATGTGCATTGAGCACTATCTTTTATTGTTCAACAACGCACAGAAAAAATCTCCCACCGGAACCACCTTGGAGGTCAAAATCGTAAGGACCGCTATTTCGGGTATGTGCCACTGGTGGTTACGTACTACGAGGGACGCACAAGCCACGCCATAAGGAGCTTCGCCCCTAAAAACGCGGTTACCTTCTTGCGGCCGGTCTAATTCCTATGAAGTCCATGTAGTCAGGTGTTCTATACGGCTTGCACTCCTCGGCGGGATATAACCATCACGGCACGACGCGGTCGCTCCATCGCTCCATACTTCGTCGCAAACTGGCTTCGCATAATGGCTCAGAATAGAAGTAGGCCCGCAGTCGGCTCCTGTGCAGCCACGTTCCACGAGTGGCTTCCACTCAAATCATAAAGTTGCCCGCTTTATCGTTACTTGCAGTGCTTCCTTCGCTTTCCCGAACATGTTACGTGAGCAATGTAGGTACATACTTCTAGATTGTTTCACAGCACAAAAAGCTCGCGAGATGTCAGTTATAAAACGTACTCGAGGAGCTGTCAGGAGCTGCTGGTTTTCTCTATCAGATAGGTTCCCCTTTTGCGTAGGGCTCAAAGCGCAGGACACGTCGTTTATTGAGCATGCCGCTCGCTACAACAGTACCTTTAGTGAAGAAGTAGGACTGACAATTCGGCGAGTTCGTATACAGATTCGTTATTACGAAACGGCGCCACGAACTGCCAGTCAATCAGAACTGTCTGCGTATTCGGTGGCAGCAGGTGTTGGGCACAGCTTTACAATATATAGGACGCGAGAGTTAGATGCTGTACCAGGCTTATCGAATGCGAGTCGAATGTAGCATTATAGAAAAGTGAGAACCGTGTGCACGAAGGAAAGACGTCATAAGAACACTAGAATGACAGTTCGCTGCTGTCATGGAGTGTGTCGACAACATACCACAAACTTTTGTACGTCTAAAGTGTAACAACCGCTGATAGATGAAAGCACCTCAAAACGTAATAAAATGTTTTGTCAGAGATCATAAATCGTCTGAAGTGAGAAACACAAGAAGTGGTAATGTTGGAAATGATTATTGACAGCGTCGAGTTAATAAGATCTCATACAGGCGTCAGTGCCACTTTACAATACAAGCGATATGTACGAAAATTCGACTTAATCGGGGGATCGTCTTAAGATCGGAAACTCGGTTTGTCTGTGCACGCTCATAAGAACTCTGTATTGCAGGTCAACAACGTTTGCAGTGTCTTAACGGTACGTTAATGCGATTAAAACGGTGTTCGCATGTGCTGGGAAACCCCAAAGCGTCCTGTCACGTTAAATTGACAATTAAAGGATAGCAGACGGACATCAAAAGCGGACCGCGTATATACAGCTCACTTCAGCGAACGAACAGTGACATATTTTCTTAGACTAAGAACTCCTTGTGCTCTGTCGTGACACTTTGCCACAGGTTATTCCTTACGTAAGTTCTTGGCACGAATCTATCCTTCGCGATTCTCGTAGGGCGCAGCCGAACAAGCTTTCTCTTTGTGCAACGAGGACGCCAAGCACTCGCCGCGGCATACCCCTACATCAGTGCGTGTCCCAGGCACTTATTACGCGGGGGGCTTTACGTCGAAACCACCCGTCACGCAGATTAGCGGGTTGTACGATCGAAGGACGCCGATGACAAGTGCTCAGACTACCTGTGCCAACGGTCCACTGCTGCGAAATACGGCTGGCGGCGGGAACGTGCCGTTTCGCCGGCCGTCAAAACATGGGCCGCCGCCGTGTAGGGGAAAAAGTTTCGAAGCTGCGCGGTTTTCCCCTGAAGCCACTCGGACACGGCAGCCTAGTTTCGAAACGGACACAAGTGACTGCGCGTACCGAAATGTGAACGGCGTCTATAGGAAGCGCGGCTAGCCCACGTAACTCGCCGTGTAGATTGCGGAGGCTGCCTGTGCGAAATGGAACGCCTGCGCTGTATCGCGGCGACGCGTTGCGGTGAATTAAGCCTTCTTCGCTGATACAAAGTCATCTCCCTGGTCGAGTGATGCGCACTGCATTTTGTTGGCATTATTAGGTGGATTTCTGGTATAACGCCCTTTGAGCGCAATCTCTGCAGCTATGACTAGCGTCAATGGGCCGACGTCTTCAGAGAGATGGCACGTCAAGGCGTTACGTCGTACTATAGTGAACATAACCACTGTTCGATCGCAAAATATTGCGGATTGATTGAAATGTAGGCTTTAACGTCCCAAAACCACCGTATGAGAGACAGCGTAGTGGAGGGCTTCGGAACAAAAGATAGCGGGACTAGATATAAAATATCTTGAACGGGGCAAATAAGGCTACAAAAGGATGGCACGACAAGTGGCACTGGTCGATGATATATTATGCTACATGGCGCAGGGATTAATTCTGATCGAAGAACATTAAGACATGATATGAACTTGTCCGATGAAACAGAATCAGTAGCGGTAAGTATAGGCTACATAACAGCCTAGAACACGCGCAGTCAAGGCGCAGTTTGTTACACCGGTAGAAATTTCTCGGTCAGTAGCTTTCTTCTCTACGCGTTCCTCCCACGTATGCGACGCGTGACGAGTGAAGCGAAAGTGACAGCACGTGCAGGGCGCGTCCCGGCTCGCAGCGCACTCACCGATTGCGAGGACGTACAGCGCGAGGCAGGCGACAGGCAGCGGTTCTCGAAGACATGTTCGCGGTACGCGGTCTTCCGTTGCTCTGGTTACTCCTCCGCGGGCCGCGCACGGCTTGGGTGTATCGGCGGCAGCCGGAAGCGCTCGGCCTTCACCCACAAACCAGTCGCGAACGCGCATGCGTCCAACGGGCCCAGCCAGCCGGCCGGCCGGCCAGACTTCTTCCCCCCAAGGTGAGCTTCTTCCGTTGACTTTCGCAGCGGGAGAGGCGTCAAAAGTGGCTCGGTGCGATCCACGGTGCCGGCCAACATTGAAACAATGACTCATTGACGCCGCCTCTGTTGCTTCGGCAAGTGGCCGTCTTTATCGAGAAGCAAGGACAAGAAAGGAACGCCGATCGTTTGAAACGGATGTGCAGGGTCGTTTCGAAAGTGCGCGCCCTTTGGTACGCCACGCACGGCTGGCCGCCACTGCCAAGGACGCGTCGCATCGACGGTGCGGTTGCGTCAGTAGCGCCGGTATATACGTATGTGGTCGCCTCCTTGTATTGCGTCTTCGAAGAAGCCGTTGCCGCAATTCTGGAGAACACCAGTGACGCCGCCAGTGCGAGCCTGGTTCCGGTTCAACGTTTTTCTCCGAACTTTCATCTCTGCAGTCTTCAGCCTTATCCTTTGATTGCTGTAGTATAATGGTGGACCCGGAAACGGCCCGTATAATTAAACGAGACATGGGGTATCCTTGCGTGGGCCTGAGCAAGGGGTACCATAGGCGTGCGGGGGGTGAGGCAGGAGGGCCCACCCTTAAACATTTATTGGGGAGGGGGGGGGGGTTCAACTTATGCCTCATGTTTTTAGTCAGTCGGAGGTACCAGCGCCATTATTCTTTAATGTGCAGTATTATGACAAAACATGTTTCTGACGATTGTTCCAAGAACACTTTTATTCATTTTTATAGAGTCCCGCAAAGCCATCGACCAAAGGCAGGTCATCGCTCTATTTCTTTTTTTTTTCTATTAAGAAAAGGAGAATAAGCTGTATTAGAAAATTGTTTAATGCACGCCAGGAGAAAGTTTACCTCCCCTGTTGCTCCTATAGCTGTCGGCCGGAATGCTGACTTTTGGACAGGCCAATGGATGGAAAGAGGTAAAGCGTCGCCCCCCCCCCCCCACCACCCTATAATAGGGGATCTTGCGCACATCTAGTCGCTGTTGTTCGGTGGTCTCGTTCGACTATTACCGGCGTGACAGTGCAGCAGGCATGCAGTTTAGTGCATGCCAGAAAAACGGTTGCCAACCGTACCGTAACGGTCGCGTGCCAATGTCGCGGGGTCAGTGGCATTCATGGCATCCTGTAGGACGCGTCTGACGCAGTCGTTTGCAGCATCATTCTCAGAGTGAGCTGGACATACGCGTAAAAACGAAACACTCGCATACTCGGCATTAAAAGCTATGATGAGTTGGAAGAGATGAGAAATCCGTGGAGCACAGGGTACCGCTACAGTGCTATAACGTTGCGGCGAGTTGTTGTCTTGTCTTCAATACGGTGACTTTAAGGCAGCAGTCATGACCACATGTCGAAACGTCCGCTCTCGAGTTCATTCATTTTTCCTCTCATCAAGTTTCTGTCTGATGATAATGATGCTTCAGCGACAGTAGTGCGACAGATACGATATCATTATCGGTACATTCACATATTTCATTTCACTGCCGTCATGACCTCACGCTGAACAACACTCAGAACGCTTGCGCGCGCACATCGTGCACTGGTATCGGCATCTACTGATAATCGAATACACTGCCCCAGATCACCTGATTGTCCACTACGCGATCTCTGCGATCAGCCAGTTTTATTGAAAGGTCTTCGATAAAGGCCCACCTTTATTGGTGAGACGTGCGACGTGTCAAAGCGCAGAGAGGTATAAGGAATGGAAGTGGGAGTTTCTCGTGTTAAAGGAAACTGTTCTCTGAATCGATCGAGTTTTGTTACTTTAACATAACTGCGTTTGTGATCTCAACGGACGTGCAACTGCGCTTTTAAAAGAAAGAAAATGCTTCTGTGAACGATCTCTACTGATAAGGGTTGATTGCCGAAAACTATGCACGGCGCGATTCATACATGCGGTGTTCTACATATCAGCCGTCCGTCTGCAGAAAGATCGAGATACGCGCATCAAACATGAGCGCACGTTCAGAGCAGCGATAATAATAATTGTTACAGTTTAACGTCCCGAAACCGCAATATGGTTATGAGAGACGCCGTATAGTGGGGTGCTCTGGAAATTTCGACCAGCAGGGTTTCTTTAAATCTAGGCACATGAGCATGGCCACATTTCGCCCCCACCGAGGTGCGGCCGCCGCGGCCCATGGGTTCAATACCGCAATATGGTGAGCAATCGAGCGCTGTAACCACAAGACCACCGAGGCGGGTAGAGAATCGCTATGAAGATACAAAGAAGATTACCAGGGGCTACACTGCTCTTTGACCACAGTCGATCTGCAGCGTTCAAGAGACGAGAGATCCTCGCGTTCCTCTCCGAGGAGCTTTTCTTCCTCGGGGAGCACGAGTTTCTGCGGCATTGGTCATGCCCTTTCGTCAAGGTGGAACACGAAAGGATACAACTCATTTTTCGACCGACTTGGTGCTAAGCAGCGCCCGTTGAGTTGTTTTATATGATTTCATTTGTTACATATCGTGTTTTATTGCATCTACTGTATCATTATACCATTGTATCATGATATCGCATTGAGTTCTTGTGTACATATATGCCAACATTGTCATGTATATTAGAGCAAATGTATTCATTGTAACGTAGTGATGTTAGTCGTGAAACATGGATGTGCCGAAGTGCATGTGCCCTGTTACTGGAATGGTATGAAGCCTTTGTGTTCTGTACATGCTGTAAATAATTTTTTTTTCTAAACGCAAATAACCATTTCCTTTTTTTTTTAGCGACGAGTATAGTAACACTGTTCACAGTTGCAGAAGCCTCAGAATCATGTCACTCTGCTCTTCAGCTTCATGCGAATAAATGAAAGAGAGACAGAGAAGCCTTTCTTCCTCGTCATTTCCTTCCTCGTGCACGCTCTATCTTCGGTGTTTGTGGTGAGTAAACGCTTGGGGAAACTCGTCACCGCGGTACTATATGGGACAACCACGCACGGCATGTACATGGTCGCAGTGGTGTCATTGCGTGCTACCCACTATTGCAGTCCATCCGTGCTGGCCCCCGACCTCTCCGGCCGGTGGAACGCCGCGACGCGTCCGTTTTGTAAAGTGCACCGGGCGAGTGCTGCCGCGTCTCTGACGTCAGTGTTGACGTCCTTTCCACGTGCCGACCCAGGAACGGCTGGGCTTCCCCTCAGTGCGACAACGAAACCACTCACGTGCACGCGTCCTTGTCATCTAAGCATATTCGGTATTCGGCCCGGAGCGTTGTGGTCGCCGGGCGCTGCGCTGTACGGCCGAGTATACATAAACAGAAGTCTGCGATTAGCGATATCGCCAAGGCTGAAAAACATACGCCGCGTATGCATGAACTTCTTGAGGTGCGGGAGTCAGGGTCGATATATTCGCACTACCGTTATCGAGCCTCTATTACGCGCCGGTGCGTTCGTCACGATTTGTGGGCGCTCGCTATACGTTTACACGGTGTTCCAAGGAGGATTTGAACACGTATGACGCCTGAAAACACAGGGTCGTAATGACTGCGAGGGTCACATCGGCTGATTCACGCTTTCTTTCTGTGGTACTCGACCTGCGTGTCAGCAGCCGAGTACCTTAACCACTATAGACCACCGCGGTGGGACAGGGGTGAGTATACTGCGTCTGTGGCGCATTATGACATCCACAAGCGTTAGGATCCCCCACATAAAAGGCCAGGTGACTATATCCAAACTTCGAATAACACCATTTCAGATATCCAGTGTTTGAGAAAAGGAACGCTGTCAAAGAAAATGAGTCCTTCATAATCACATTGTGGTTTGGGGACGTCAAACCTAACCAACGAAAACGATTAAGCTCGCAAACAATTATACTGATTCAGAAAACGCCCAAAACGACGCTTACGTACCGCGCCAAGAGCCCGGATTTGTATATTTCTCGGAGCATCCACCCGTCGCAACAGCTTCAATCGGCTCCGCTTTCCGAGAGCCTGTTTTGCACATATACGCATGTCCACCTTTATTCCGAATGCATACCACGCGTCTAAGTCTCTGAGTCATGCCCACGATGCAAGTCTACTCTCAAGAACAACATTATATACCAGCGCGACGCAAACGAAATAAGCTTGCTTTGGCAACGTAAAGCTGCATAATTATCTACCCTCGAAATCCCAGTGGCATCATGCATGTACTAGCAGAAAGGATACCAGTAGCTTTTTCCATGAATGCACAATACGCATGTGTATAGCTGGTTTCTTGGTTCAAGCTTAAGCAGCCACGCCAAACATGTTTTTCATCCTTGAATACGATATGTCCAGCTTAGCACTTTTCGACGCCGACATGGCGATGGAATGGAGTGCATGCCGCGTAGAGTTAACGGTATTCAGAAACGGTGTACCTGGTGGCGTCTTTCCGACGCACAACAATAAGCGTTATCTAGCCCCGCCGCGGTGGTCTAGTGGCTAAGGTACTCGGCTGCTGACCCGCAGGTCGCGGGTTCGAATCCCGGCTGCGGCGGCTGCATTTCCGATGGAGGCGGAAATGTTGTAGGCCCGTGTGCTCAGATTTGGGTGCACGTTAAAGAACCCCAGGTGGTCGAAATTTCCGGAGCCCTCCACTACGGCGTCTCTCATAATCATATGGTGGTTTTGGGACGTTAAACCCCACAAATCAATCAAATCAATCAATAAGCGTTATCTATCTGTCGTGCTTTGCTTACGTTATCCCGTGCGCCCGGTACTATAGCTGGTTGCGAACGGCGTGCGGCTATCAGCGTGACGTAGCGCTCTAGACAATAAAGCAGCGAGCGCACAGTTTACGAGAAAGAGAACGCAAGCAAGCCAGATTAATATTCTTGCGAAGCGAAAAAGACGCCCCGAACACCCCCGCTCGGCTCAGATCGATTTGCTGCAAACAAATTTATTCCTAATTCGTTCCGGTATGTGCGTCACTCGAGCATCTACGGACACTGCCTTCTGGTAGAGCTGGCTGAGCATTTCGATTAATTACTCATTGATTGATTGATAGATGGGGTTTAACGTCCCAAAACCATCATATGATTATGAGAGACGCCATAGTGGAGGGCTCCGGAAATTTAGACCACCTGGGGTTCTTTAACGTGCACCCAAATCTGAGCACACGGGCCTACAACATTTCCGCCTCCATCGGAAATGCAGCCGCCGCA